GGCGAGGCCTGAATGGTTACATCATCTAAGCAACGTCAACGAAAATGTTTGAAGCCGCAGACCGATAAGTTTAGTTTTAGATAAAGTGCGCGTCATAGTTTCAACGCGTGAACATTGTTGATATGTACCTTTTTTTTGGACCCGCGTACATTCGGTTCAACTTGACAGCTGCACCAGCGTGAGAGCTCGTCGAACGCTTGCACACATATCTTGACTATGGCAAGATTTCTTGCCTTCGATTGGCTTGAACACTTTATCTGTAGCATCACGGTAGGTCTTGGTTGAAACGATGATCGTCTCGCACACGGCAACAAACAGAGAACGACACGCTTTGTTTCATTTATACGCTACCGGTCTACGGGCGTCGCAAATCTATCCCCCTCTTGTCCGCCATGTTGGATCGATCGGAGCGCCCCCTATATTTGCTGAAACTCCTCAATGGCGCAGCCGCGGCAGCCGCCGAGGCTGGTTGAGTGTTTCCGCGGTTTTTGATCAGCTTTGTTCGAAGACTGATTTTCGCCGATCTTTGTCGTCACGTGTATGTGGTGAACGGAGCACTGCGGAGACTGAAAATTATGTGGGCTGTTCGCTGTGTTGTGGCATTCGGGCAAAGCAAGATCGCGGTGAGTTTGCTCGTGTACAGTCGGCGGTAAAAGTTTGCGGGGCGCGGGAGCGTCAGCCGAAATGACTGGTTGCGCCTTCTGCGGCGCGCGGCCGCTCTCAAGATTCACGCTTCGAGAATGTGCTTCCTTTCGTGCTCGAAGCCATGACTTTTTCGCTCGCTTCCGCCCGACGTGCACGAGATAACCGGGGACCGGCGCAAGGTGCCGCTATGACAGCCATCACGCCGCGCGTCTGCCTCAGCCACCGTGATGGGTGACGAAACTCGCGCATGCTACAGATAACATTTCGCAGCACCTTGCGCCAGTCCCAGTTACATATCGTGCGTGTCGAACGGAAGCGAGCGAAAAAAGCATGACCGCGAACAAGAAAGGAAGCGCGTGCGCATAGCGTGAGTCTTGGAGCAGCAACGTGCCATGAGAAGGCGCAGCCAGTCTTTTCGGCTGGTGCTCCCGTGCCCCGCAAACTTTTGCTCCCGACTGTACGTCGGCCGATGCTCGTGTCGGTGCACATCTCAATCTCAACTAAACGTCGAGCGCCGATTGTGGCCGACTCCATGCATGTAAGAACGAATTAATCTACCAGGAACTTCGTGAATAAGAACGAGGCAAGCGTGTGGCTGTAGAAGGATGTCGTGACCGGTGGCATACGTACACTGGTTTCCGCACGTTGCTTCTGTTTACTTCATCTGTTGTAATAGCAGTCTGTACCGGTGCGTGAAGGCCTCGGTTGCTTCGAAAACCAAAGCTGATACAGCCAGTCCCTTTTTATCCGATGATTCTGTCAAGTATATATATATATATATATATATATATATATATATATATATATATATATATATATATATATATATATATATATATATATATATCAAGAATGCACGTTTGGTGTTGTTTGCAATAATTTTACTGCGGAGGACTTTGCCTTTTGCGCGGGATCAGTCTTCTCGTGTAACTTGTCTTCCAAATTTGCGTGCAACAATTTTTGCACCCTCCGATTTCCGTTCTATATTCGGTTTCTTTTCTTGCAAATGTGTTTCAGCCTTAACATTTTGCCGCGGCGCAGCTCTGTTCAGAGAAGAAACGGTCTCAGCACAGCAGGGTGCACGAAGCGCGTCGTGTGTTTAGAAAAAAAGAAAATGAAATTGGGCAAGAAATGATTTGGTAACTGCACCGTAATAAGTGGCTGCCAGCTGTGGAAAAAAAAAAAAAAGAAAGAGATATGTTGCCTTATGGTTGGAGTTAAGTCATCTGCCTTATTGTAGTATTTGAGGTAGAAAGGAGAACAAACTAGATGCCTGGGCCGGCTTGCGAGAGGCAGCGTCTCGGTTAAGACTGCTCAAAGAAAGCGCTGCCAAGGCTCGGGCGCGCGAGCGTCTAGGACTCGGTTTAAGCTCTAGCACTAGCCTTGACAGCGCTTTCTTTGAGCAGTCTCAACCGAGACTCTGCTTCATGCAAGCCGGCCCACATATCTAGAAAACCAATTTTCTGTCCCAAAAGGTGGTAAAAAAAATGTCACATTACTGTGCAATTGCGGGGCGTTAGCGTGAAACAATTTCGCGGTAGACTGCAACGCAAACAAAAAATGGAAAAGAGCAAGAAAAAAAAACACAAAAACAACAGTAAGTCAAGCGTGAAATGCTAGGGAAAGGAAGGTGGGAGTGGAGGAAGCAGATGGATAGCTGGCAAGGAGAGGAGGAACTTCCCTTCCCTTGCCAGCGTTGTTTCAACACCTCCTAGAAGACAAGGCCGTAGTGCTCTTCTCGTGACGTCGCAAAGGAAGGCCATTGGGGGCGCGCGTCGAAGCGAATGCAACGCGCGTAGATCGACCGTCGTAAAGCGTTTTTAGTCACATACGCGTGTCATATTAGCTAAAATGAAAGCTGCACATAGCAACGGGTCTAGAAAACATTTTATTACACGAGCAAAATATTACACCACTAAATAATCGGTACGAAATGGCACGAGGTATGCGTACAAGACGTCTATCGAAAAATGTGATTGTTTTAAGCCGAAAACATTGAGTCATGCAATTATTGTTGTAGGAATGCATATTATATACAGAAATACTTTGACAAAATGGCGAGACACGCAGTGATTTTGAAACAGCAAAACAGAACAGTTAAAAATCAGGTAGACGTAGTCAACGCGGACAAGGCAAGACAAGCGTTTCTCACGATCATGTAAGCGACGTTATCGCGTGCAGTCACTGAATTCTTGCATCATACCCCGGCCACATGGCAAAATTAATGTAATTTCGATCGAATGACATTATAGGATCGACAAATCCGCTTGCGGCGCTCGTATAATCACTCAAGACCGCGAGCTGATTAAACCCTATATCACTGAATGAAAATATATTAACGTTTCCCTGTGGCAGGGGTACTAAACTTACTACTTAGTCTACTAATTTACTTCTCCCTATGGGCTCGAGCTGCCTTAGAACAAAACATAACTTATTTTGTATATAATAATACTATCACCTTAATACAGTTAAGATTCTAGTATAAACGCGGAAAAGGCAATAAAATAACTTTAGTATAAATAAACACAGAACCACAAACAACTCACTTTCAATAATCACACAAACTTGATTTTCATCTTCCAGTGAAAACTAGATTAGCGCGCATATTTACAAATGTCGACGCAACTGCATACGAATAATGACAAGGAACAAAATTGCAATTTATCATGCGATTAAAAAAAAAGAAACGATTGCAGCATCTTACTTGCGTCCTACATGAACAAGAAAGCCCGTAAATAAGTTGTTTCTCACCTGTCGATCGTATCCATACGTCCCACAATATCCGTGACGAACACATTTGAACACGAACTCCAAGAAGCCTCTCTTTGTCGAGAGAGAGGTCTATCGATTAGTCGACCAGAGCCTTCGTTGGCTAGTTGTCACACGTCACTCAAACCGTAGCAGGACTTGTTTCACGAAGTAGCAGGACTTGTTTCATCAAGCGAACAAAAAAAAAAAAAAAAACTACCCGAGACTACGGTGATGACAGAAATACGACGGGAAACAAGTCTCAAAAGTACCACACACGAGAGCAGCGGCGACGAAAGGCTTAACGTTGTCGACCCATCTCTTGCTGGTGTGCGCTCCCTGCGACAACGACTGGATTTCTTTTCGGTTTGCTTCCCTTCTGAGATGTCTCAGCGTTCCTTTTCAGACAGTCAGCAGCTCACACACAACGTAAATTTACCAGAATCGGAGCCATGTGGCATCAGCAGCATCGCAGGCGGTCCTTTCGAAAAGTGTGGGGTGCTGCGGAACTGCACGTAGTCCCGCGGTTACGGGAATACTCATAAATATAATTTTGGTACTCTCAACCCTGGTAGCGCGTTATATAATACGTTTATATTATATATATAATAAATTGTACAAGACTGCGCCTTTAAAACGTATATTAATGTCGGATAAACGCGCATGAACGAACACCACCGCGCCGCTTGTCAAGGGGCATTGTTTTCACGTCGATAGCGTATTCTCACGTAGTTGCGCCATGGACTTCCTTCCTCCGCCATTGTGACGTAACCTCTCAGAGCGCTCTGGCCTTCTTCTCTAGGAGGTGTTGGTTGTTTACTTACTCCTTTCCATGTTCCTTGCCCTTGGCAGCAGTTTAAATCAAATAGCGCTGCGTCGTCCTGGCTTTCATTGCACTGCTCACGCTATGAATGACAAGGCGCTATACCATTCCAGCCCAGTTCTGCTCACCTGACCTCTCAAGCCAGATGCACAGAAACGAAAAGTTTCACATGACAATTACTGCGGCCATTCATATCACTGCCCAATGTTAGCATGCTAGACTGTAGCTCCTGATGGCTCGGGCAACCTAAAAGAACACGGAAACATAGTTTTGTATGTTAAGACTGGACGACAAGACGACACGCACGCTGCAGGTGTAGACAGGCAGGTGCAGGTGTTCTATCTTTCTGGTGTAAATAGAAACATTGCCTTCAGATTAACACAGAACATTGAGGATGGCTGTTTTGTACTTCAGTTTAAACCTGGCTCCTGCATCTGAAATAGCCAGTTTCGACAAAAACTTGTGGTGTTTCATTCAGAAAAACTTGCCCACTAGTCATGAAACCTTGATGACTGCTTCGTCAGTGACACTATGTGGCACACATTACAAGCCAGGTTCTTACATAGTGCTTGGTGGGGACCAGTACAACCTGCAGTTCGGCCAGCTTCTGCATATTGTGGTAGAGTCTGGCCATGAGGCAACTCCATTATTTCTTGTGAAAAATGCAGCGTCTGCATTCCTCCCAAACTTCAGGCTCTACAAGTTGATGGAATTGGAAGTGGAAGAGCTACAGTTGTTGTCTTCCTTTCAGCTGATGGACATACATCCATATGTCCCGTACAAACTCCTCAACTGTCTTGTGATCAGGCTGCGGAGTTCACTATTGTTCGACGATTTTGAAGGTATGATACCAGTGATTTGTGTGGAAATTACCTTAAATTTAAAAACGGGGGACACCCTGCAACTCACTTTTTCAGTATAGCACAGACAATTGGAAAATGTAGGCCAAACAAAAAACCTCTAGGCAGGCTTTTCTAGTTTTTTAAGATATATTATATCATTCGTTGCAAGTCTTTACTAAGGTGCCTTCATGTGCGCTTCGCATAGGGTGATGCCAACTGCCTGTTTCCCTTTCCCACACCCTCGTCCACCGCCATTTTGTTCCTAATTGTTTCCCCGTGCGCCGAAAGTGGCCTTTGTGTCCATCGGTCCTCCCATCCAAAGGGGAAATGCTAATCCTCCCTCCGTGGGTTCCACAACGCTGCTCTGAACTTGTGAGATAAGGTGCTTGTTTCTGGGAGGGTTATAAGCCCACGGATTATCGCCAAGGACCAAAATGGCTGCTGGTTTGTCGGTGAGTGGTATTACAAAGGGTGGCATTACCCTAGCAAAGCGCACATGAAGGCTCCCTAGTTTTTACACCCGCAATGTCTAATAACTTTAATTTGCAGTAGTGGGGAGTAACGTAAATAGGTTTTCATTTGGAAAAGTCGTGAAATTATCAGTGAATATCGTCAAAACATTGGCCCCACCAGGGAAAATGATCAGTAAAAGTGGAATGGCAATGCGGAACAAAGCTAGATGGTTGCGCATGAGCACAGCCATGCCGAATAATGTTTCTGAAATATGATCCTTTGACCCGCAAATGCTCACGGGATTTTATCAAAATAGTCAAGGGAAAACTGGGAAAAGTCGGGGAATTTAAGATCACTAATTTTGTAGACACTCTGTTAAATTGTAGCAATGCTTTACCAGCTAACTTGCACCCTTATTTTTTTTTTCTATATTACAGTTGTTTTGTAGCACATAACATAAACTTTGCATTTGTACGTTCACTGTTTTTCAGATGATAGTCAAGATCTGGAGCCTTGATAAAACAATAAAGAAACTGGCAGTGGTTGCCACTTTCGACGCCTTAAAGAAAAAGGCCATAGAGTTCGGTATATGCTGCAATGGAGACATCAAGGTTTGTAAAATAATTTCAGCAGTTGAAATTATGTACTTAGCCATTCTTATTCTCAAAATAACATACCCTGTTTCCAGGTACACATGCTGGATGGAACGGAGGTGGACGAAGAAGCTTTCAATTGTTTGAATCAGTCACCTGAGGATGCTACTTACACCTTCATTGCAACAATAGATTCTTGGGTGTCAGGCAAGTCCAAGCTTGAATTTACTTTAGGAATGGGGGAGTAGTAATTTTTCAGTTAAAAGCAAATGTGAAGCAAATTATAACGTAATATGAGAAATGAAAAATAACTTCGAAACACCTAATTTCATAGAACGGAAAAAAGAACTTATTTAATTGATAAAGGTTCCCTAGCAAAGTTTCTGCCAATTACTCTTTATTTATTATGCAGGCAATTAGCAACAGACGTGCAGTATAGAGTTTTTGCTTCAAACGTAACACTTCGATGGCATAGTTAGAAGTTTCAAAGACTGTAACCACAAACTACAAAGAAATGCACTTGGATTATTTTGCTTGGAATTTTAGTTACACAAAATAATAACAATATTTATTAATATTCTAGAATATGTCTACTGTGCAGAAAAGTCAGCTGGTATTCTCTTTCGAGAAATTGGAAAACCTATAGGTTCTGTGCTCATTGTGTTTTGTAAGCAAACACATCAAAGACATAAAAAGTTAGCTTATTGGTCTTCTCTGACAGAACTCAGATGCACAAGAAGAGAACAAAACAAGCAATGATACTGGCACCAGTGGTTGTATTTACCGGAATGAATAGCCAACACTCTTAAAGGCTGACGAATGCAAAACGATTAGGAAGCTGTCCCTCGCTTTCCTCGTTTGCACCCCAAAGAGGAAGAGACACTGCCTCCTCTCTGTGGGGGCTAGTTTTTGGACATTCTGTTTTCGGGGAAGGAGGAGAGAAGAGTGCAAGTGGGAGGGGAGAGAAGGACACTACGGGAGGGATTTCAGCCATGCAGAAAGTGCTCCCTGTGCGTCTGCCTTTAAAGGGGAGTAAAGAGGTTCTTAAAAAAACTGAGTTTGAGCCAGATTCCAGCATAATGTTATCCTGTGAATCCTGAAGATGTAACTAAATGCGAGAAAACTCGAGAGACCTTAGGCCGGTCGTTGCGTCATATCCAGATTTTTCGGCCGCCAAGCGCGTTTTGCTCATGTGGGCAGCACATGGAATTGCAAGCTTGCCAGGTATATTACCCTGCATGTGACACTGGTTGTGACGTCTTTGTCTGGCCTTTCTGACAATATCAAGAGTGCACATGCATAGCTTTGATGGGCATTGTAGGCACGCAAGAGCAGAAGTTCCGACAAATCTGGGTATGATGTCACGCTCAGAGATGACAGGGCTTTGGCGCTATTTCCAAAGCACTGTTACGACTGCTCCTCGCATCAGACTGAAAAATAATTCCAATATTCGTGGTCCTGGGGGCTAAAAGAAGATAATTAAAGTGTTTAATTTTTCGAAAATACAGAACCACTTTAGTTACCCTTTAAGGCTTGTCGTGGCAAAGCACACTTTTTTGTTGTGAAGCACAAAAAACAGGTCCACATGCCAGTAGGCTCATACGAACGGTGGATCAAGCTTGTTGAAGGGCGCATCAAACAGTCGGGTGGTGCAGGCTCTTTAAGGGAAGCCATTTATATCAAATAACTGGCAAAGATTGATCATCTCTAGGCCTTCAAAAAGACCAAAAGAAAAAAGAAATTACTTGCTTGAGCTAAAACGTGTTTGTCAACCTTGCTGGCCTAGTCATTGTTTTAACTTGTTCTCGAACATTTCCGTCAGCTTGTACAGCTAGCTGACACCATCTGACATGATGTTGCAAGGAGATACTTTACAAAAGTATGTCTTTGCAATCGGATGAGGCGGGATGGCGGTTGTTATGATAAAGCCAATTTCCTACTTTTGGTATGATTACATAAATACCATGTCTTTTATGTGTACCTCCCTCAAGCTCCATTGCTTTGCATCGTTGCTCTGTGGTAGAGCATCTTGGTGGCCCGAAGTTTGGATGTCGACCTCCTTCAGTTACTGTCGCATTGTATATTGAAATACCACAGCCAAAAGAAATGTTCCCCTAAGTTTAAACTGAATATGGTGCTGCACTGTTATTTTATTATCGCTATTCTTTTCTTTGTCTGCCTCTTTTGGAATGATATTTTGCACTTCGTTTTCAGGTCAGCAGGGGGATGTAACATCAACACAACATGAAGGTGTCGATGTGCCTTTTGGTTCACAAGTTCAGTTTCCCTGGAGCAGCCTTAGCAAAGACGTCATGAAAGCATTGCAAGAGGGGACTCAACTTAATCCGACTGACCGACAAGGAGTTGTGCGCATGGCTGCCGCGGCCTGTCAGAAAGTCAAGGCTAGACCATCTGCACGTGAAATAAGGAGTGCTGCCAGTTACCTTGTTGACAAGTACCCCGGGGCACTTGGGGACCCCACTTCCTGCTCAGCTACGTCAGTTTCTTCTGGAGGCCTGGCCTACAAAATAGAGAACAGGATGGAAAACAACAGAAGAGGATGCATACGCCTTGCGGAAGCGCTCACTGGTGGAACCATCAAGCTAAAGAAGCAGACATCTCGATCAGCTTACGGTTGTGTGAACTGGCAGCCAGCTACTACGAGTTCTTCACTTCATGAAGTGGAAGCCTCAAGAAAGTTTCTATTGGACGAGGCATTGAAGTCGACATGTGAACAAAACATTTGCCTTCAAACAAAGGCCATGACTGAGTGCTACCCCACATCAGGACGTTCATAAATTCGTCAGAGCCTCCATATTCAGCATTGGATGTCAAACGAGCGTGGCCACTTCTGTTTGTGAGGGAGCACCTCCTTGATCACTTCCATAGGTATAATTTTCATAAATATTTGTCCATGAGTTTACTCAGGTTTAGAGTTATTTACAGGGTGTCGAAAAATGCAAAGCTATAGTTATAGAATTGACGGCAATGGGAGCTGCAAATTTGACAAAAAAGTGTTCCTTTTATTATTAACCATTATAATGCTCGGGCTTGGTGGCCACTGTTTTAGTTGCATATGGACTAGGGCAGCGTGAGTAAGCAATTAGAATGTGGGGAATATCATTAACTATAAATGTAACTATGGCTTCAATGTTCTGGTAGAGCAGTCACAATAGCATGTGGTAGAGGGCATGAAACATTTCAGCACTGCAGCATGGAGGCACACATAACTGAGTGAATGTAAAAAGAAGGCAAATTGGAAACTTGCAGCAGTTTCAAAGTTTTTCCTGGGATGTGTGCTTGAAAATCTTTTTGCACAAATATACCTTTTTAGAAAGGAAGAATATGTTCAGTTCTTTGCAAGAGTCACTCACTCCTAAAACAAACATACACTATTATGCTCATAAAAAGGTGCTTTGAACGACGAATACGATTGCTACTTTCACCATACAGTGGTCCTTGCAGATTTCTTTCCTTCAATATTTTGCTTTTCACAAAAAGGTATTTTGATTACAAAGATTTTGGATATGAGGAGTCAGTGATAACATGAATTTTTTAAGGCTTACAGGTGTCTGTCTGGACGGAAAATTGAGCCTGCCCAAAGATGTCCTCCTCCTCGTGACATTCCTACGTTCAAGCCCCAAAATGATGCTGTGCTCGAGTGGAGCCTCAAAATCAACAAGGCCGAGGCAGAGTTCAAAGATCAAAACGCAGCAGCTGTCTGCCTCCTCCCATTGCTTGCATCCTACTTTCAAGAAAACCTCGGAGAGCTCTTCCAGTTACATCAGGTAGGAGCATTCATAATAACCAGGCTATTTGTTTTCAAAGACACATCCTCATGACCTTGTTGAAAATAACTTCCTGGAAGTCTCACACAGGCAGTCAGCATTCCACTAAGAAACTATGCATCTGGAAATACTAAACTTTTCTTCATTTTTTGAAATTTTCAGCTATATCAGTCTTCCTGTATACCGTAACATACCGGTCATGCACCTATGTCCAAATAGGCGCCTACCTAGTGATTTTTAACCATTGGAGCAATGCCTTGTACTCTTTCTGCAGTTTCACTTTCTGAGCGACCATCCCCCCACTTTTTCAGAATTGTCTGCAAAATCTTGTGAACGCTTTCTTGGTATCTGACGACAATGCTGATAATGAGCACGTAAAAAGTGAAATTACTATTGCTATACGAGGAGCCAAACCTTCCTTAATCTTTTCCTGGCTGAGGTGGCTCAACTTATTATACTTCACATTAGAGTGCAATGGGAAGATATGCAACTCTAGGCTGGGTCATCTTATAGTATGTTCTACATAAATATTTCACTAAACCAAAGGGGAGCGGCGGTGGGCACCCACTCTTGTACCACTTTCTTCTAATAGGTTCACATGATGTTTTGCATTTTTGGGATCGAGTGTTAGAGTTAACACAAAAATTATGCTGGAGAATTAACTAGTGACAAACGTTTGTACTTCCACTTCGACTCCTAAGTTAGGATCATTTGTTCTTAATATTAGCAACTTCCATGTCCCGCAGGTGTAACAATGAGGCTTTGTGACAGATATCAGCAGATACATTGCTGCTTATTTAACATTGTTTTTTCGTTGTTATTGAGCGTTAGGACAACAAATGTTTGTAGTTAAAAATGTCCTTAGTGAGAAAATAACAGGAGCCGCATCCTTTAATCTCAGCAAACGCTATCTCCTGTAGGTGGGATGAAGGGTTAAAGGAAATAAGGGTGAGATGAAAATAAAGTGGGTGAGACGAACCTCTTTCACATAAGTGAAGGGTGAATGGAGAATAGCCTTTTGGTATTCCCGAATACCCGTGGGATTAACAGACTCTTTCAAGGTTTGGGGTTCTTGCATGTGTGGGCAGTACCAGGAGTGCGCTTCTGAGACTGTGACCTCGCAGTGGGCGCATAGGCTCTTGTCTTTTTCCTGTGTATGGCGGCTTATGCACCATGTTCTTGTGGGTGTTACATTTTGCTGTTTCCTTGGAAACTATAGTGGTGTGGGTCCGTTGTCTTTTCAGGCGAACCTCTTCCCACCTGGTAGAATTACCATCTGGGAGTGGGTCTAAGTCTTCCTTGAGTAGAGCCCTGAGGTGTTTTCAGTGGGCCTGTTGTTTGGCTTCCTGGGAGAATAGGGGATCCTTTGTGTCTTTTTCAATGAAGGCGGCGCTGTT